ATCAGGGGCATAGAAAAGGAGTGGACTGAAAATTATCAGGGGAAGGGGGTCTGAGGGTATGGGAAGAGATTGGACAAAAATCTTACACCTATGGATGAAGACAGTAGTGGGGGTAAGGATTTGGGGTGGGGTGGGGAATCAGGTAGAGGGGAGCTATGCGGGGGAGAGGAACACCTGTAAAAATCTGAACAATAAAGATTTATTAAAAAATAACTTTAATATTACATCATTCCTGAATATTTTTCCTAATACGTTCAACCACCACTCCCTGTCACACTAAGCTTAGTCTCAAAGGGTGATTGGAGTGCTGCACATAGCTGCAACCTTCAGGGTGCATCTTCCTGGACGGCTCTTTTCAAAGTCTTGGATAAGTGCTGTGTTATGCTACTATGGCACAGGGATGACATTCTTACCCCATTCTATAACCCTATTTCTCCAATCTGCAACCCCAATGACAGCACTGACCATTTTCTCTTTTGTATATCAATGGGAATTTTCAAGTAACTTGAAGGAGTGACCAGACCTCATGTTTGACTAATGTTCTGACATAATAATTAACACTCCTCCTTTCATTCCCAAAAGTGTCCAGTTTGGACTATAATTGGTATGTATAAAATTGTGTTTCAGCACTTTCTAGGGCCACTTGTATCCAATGTTTTTATTACTTTGCAAATTCTTTGAGGACAGGATCAGTTCTCATTTCTTTTCCTATATCCAGAACGTACCATAGTGTCTGGCACTCTGTGGCTGTTCTTTTTTCATTTGTTTTGTTTGTTGTTATTTGTCTTTTGGAGTAGTACAATCTATTCAACATGATGAAAGACAAAAACCTACAACCAGAAATACTTCAACCAGCAAGGCCACTATTCAGAACTGAAGGTGAGACCAAGATTTCCCCAGACAAGCAACAGCCAAAGTGTTTCATTACCACCAAATGAGCACTACAAGAAATGCCACAGGGAATTTTTTTAATTAAAATTTTTAAATGTTGCCCTGGTTAGTACTCTCAGTGGTTATCAATGACCTGAGCACCACAGGGTTGCAGGTTCAATTCCCAGTCAATGGTACATATTTGTGTTGCAAGTTTGATCCTGCATGTAGGAGGTAACCAATTGATGTGTCCCTCTCACATCAATTTTTCTTCCCCACCACCACCCACTTCTACTCTCTAAAAATCAAAGGAAAAATATCCTCGAGTAGGGATTAATAAAAAATAAAAAAAATAAGTGATTTAAAAATATTTTAATGTTGACATCACTGCATGTGTCCCCCTTTCCCTCTTTTCCCACCTTCATTCATCCCTGCCTCACTCTCCCTTAACCTTCACAAAACTATTTTTATCTATTGTGTATGCATATATGTTGTTCTTTTGCATAAAAAGATATTCCTGCAATCTTTACCTCAAGAGGTTTGTTTTGTAAAACAAAACTATAACAAAATATACATGACACCTACACACTTACATAGGTTCTAGGAGAGACAAAAATAACTTTTAAAAATTATATTGCCAAAGGCTTTGATAGTAAATCCATGTTTATGTCTGCGGAGTCATTTATTTTTCTTCTACTTTAGGTTATTGAGTAGGAAATTTTCACAATATTAACTAGTAATTTCAGTGACAATTTACTATGTTGTGGGATTTTCCTGAGTTTAAATTTGCTATTGTATGTCTATATGAACATGGTAAAGATGCTAACACCAATGTGAATTGGGACAGGTAGTAAAGAAGGAGAAAAACATTCTATGCTCCACTAGCTAAGAGAATTCAAACATGTTTTTACAGGTACCTCTAATTTGTCACAAACATATATATTTAGTCTTATAAACTGTTGTTTTTGTTTTGTTTTTTTTTGTTAATTCTCACCCAATGATATTTTCCATTGATTTTTTTTAGAGAGAGGGGGAGATATAGATAGATTTGGAGAGAGAGGGGGGGGGAGTGGGGGAGAGAGAGAGAGATTGTTTCTAGAGAGAACAATTGGTTGCCTTTCGCACTTGCCCCTACTGGGGCTGGGGAATGAACTTTCATCCCAGATATATGCCCTTGACCAGGAATCAAACTCACGGTCCTTTGGTGTTCAGGCCAATGCTCTAAACAATGAACAACAGTGTCTGGGGCTAAACAGTTGTTTTAAGTGACTTTGGAACTTTGAATAAATTCAGGGGCAGAAATCTCAATGTCCTAGAAATTATTTTGAAGAGAATAAAAATTTAAGTCAGATAGTTAATGTGGAACTTATAAAAGGAATAGCCTAGGTCAGCGTTTTTCAACCGCTGTTCCGCAGCACACTATGTTGCCTGGTGTGCCGTAGGTGCAGACAAGACAAGAATTTTATAATTTTTCACTATTTTGTTTACTTAATATTTCATAATAAAGTAATTATAAAATACTTTCTTTGTGTTTATTTGATTCCTATTCAAGAGAATTACTTTATATATAGTCAATATAGGCACAGAGTTAAATTTTTTAACATTTTCTAATGGTGGTGTGCCTCGTGATTTTTTTCATGAAACAAGTGTGCCTTTGCCCAAAAAAGGTTGAAAAACACTGGTCTAGGTGAAATGGGTGTCTATGTGTTGGCTAATTCATTAAATGAAAATATTGAAGTCATAAGTACCAGTATAATCATTAGAGGCATTATTATATGCTGTCTGAATGTCAGTTATCAGATGTCAATTCTGTGTGCATATGATGTTTTCAAATGTGACTCTTCTAAATAAACATGTAGTTGTCCATATTATTCTTAGAATTACTGGTAACTTTTCTTCTTTTTTGTATAAATAAGATTGAAGTGTAACTGGATTACCCTAGTACACTGATTGTACAGATAGTATAGTTTTAGATTAGTGAGTATGTTACAGAGAACCGGAATAAATCAAGCAATGCTCAGAGAGTTTGGAGTCACAGTTTATTCACCACAGTGGGCTTAGAGAAAAAGAATTCAAATTCTAAGCAAAGCTACAAGCAAAACTTTCCTTTTTATTAAAGAGCCAGCCCTCTGTGTACTTAGTGGTTATCTGGCTGCTGGCCTTGAAAACAACACAGTTCTGTCCAATTAAAAATATACTTGGGCCGAAACCGGTTTGGCTCAGTGGAAGAGCATTGGTCTGTGGACTGAAAGGTCCCAGGTTTGATTCCGGTCAAAGGCATGTACCTTGGTTGCGGGCACATCCCCAGTAGGGGGTGTGCAAGAAGCAGCTGATTATGATTCTCTCTCATCGATGTTTCTAACTCTCTATTCCTCTCTGTAAAAAAATCAATAACTGTATTTTCCGGCATATAAGACGACTTTTGAAACAAAAAAAGGTCAACCAAAAATCGGGGGCAAAAGACCAAAATTGCACAAAAATTACCTGCAGATCTTGACGGCAAAGTAAGTCTTTTCTTTGAAGTGGGGGGTAGTCTTATACAGCGAATATAGGCCTGAACCTATGTTTTAACTGTAAAATTAAGGGGTAGTCTTATATGCCGGAAAATACGGAAAATATAAAAACAAAACAAAACACTTGGCATGGAATTGAGAGTATGGGCATATCTAGTCTTTGGCCTACAAGGTCTGACAGCTAAGTTTATCTTCCTCATTATTCAAGCAGGCTAAAGCAGGCTAGAAAACAAAATTATTTTTTTTAGAATAAGAGGCCATTTAAAAATAACACAGAATTCCAAACAGTAGTTTTATAAAATAGGGGTTAGCCTTCTCAAGCACAGTTGCTATCTAAGAGCTTGTCAGTGCTCACAGGTCTATAGCCTTCCATTATGGTTAGTCTTCTTCTTTTTAAACTAAACCCCTAGTGGTGTATATTGCACCCTTTACATAATATAAGAACCTAACTATGTTCTGTTCACTTTTCTAAACACTTTTCTTACTCATTGTATGTAATCTTTACCCTGTGAGGTAACTACCAATATCCTCACTTTACATATCAGCAAAGCAAGACTCAAATTGAAAAAAACACTCTAGCCAATTTAGAACTCAAACCTATCAGGTAGGTGAGAGAAATTTAGAAATAAAATTGTCGCTGATTCTCTTCTGTAATTTATATATTTTAAAATGTTCTAGTTTTTCATGCAAGTTGAGTCGATTTTCTTTCTTTTACAGTATAATTAAAACAACTACCAGTACAACAAATAAAAGAGGCTTCAGATACAATTCATGATTGTGCACAAACCTCTTTCCTTATCTGGAGCACACCTCTCTATTTGTTAGCCTTCTAGCCTGCTTCAATGGCTAGAAAACAATTTTAATTGTTTTCTAATTTCCCTAGTAGATGAGGTCCCTGATGTTTTGCATATAGTAGTGCTGGAAAAGTTGTACTCTTCAAGAGTGGAGCTCAACTATAGTAAGAAGGATCCGGTGGCCCTAGCTGATTTTCTCAGTGGTTAGAGCATCAGCCCATGGATTGAAGAGTCATGAGTTTGATTTCAGTCTAGGGAAAGTGCCTCAGTTGCAATTGGCAGCCAAGGCATGTGCGGGAGGCAACCAATCAATGTTTATCGCGCACATCAATGTATCTCTCTGTGTGTTTCTCCCCCTCCCTTCTACTCTCTCTAAAAATCAATGGAAAAAAATGGCCTTGGGTGAGGATTAACAAAAAAAAAAAGTTGTGTGTTGTATTTTCTTAAAGAAGGATCTGGTGTGGAATCTTGACCACTTACCTTATAAAGGAAGAGAGAGTCCTTTGAAAGATTATATATACATAATTGTTGAAGTGCCAAGTTTGTTTCTCTAAGTTGTGATAAGCTGTTAAATTTAGCTATGATTTTTTGGAGGGTGGGGATTATATCATTATTGCCACCACAGAAAGACATATGTCTAGAATTATTACATAATTTAAAATTCGATATTTTTAAATATAGAATCCAGGGCGAGTCCAATTATTTTAAGTAGAAAAATAAAATGTCAGACAACCTGTAGTTTCTTAAGAAGAAATCACTATATTCTAAAATGCTTTTTCAGAATTTTACTAAGTATGATTGTGGTATGTGTGTTCATTTGCAGGTACTGGTAACATCTGAACATACCAAACCAAACAGACAAACTCTTGCACCACCACTACCACCACACTGTACCACAAAGAAATGCCACTATACATGGTTTCCAAGCAGTCTAAAAATAAAAAGAGTTGATTAGATCTCAGACCTTCTAAACGGGATGACGGCCACTGCTGCAGTGGAAACACCAAAAATGAAGAAGAGTGCCTCCAAAGAAGAGAAGCAGCCACCTAACCAAGACAGCACAGAACAGGGCAATGCTGATTCTGAAGAGTGGATGAGCTCTGAAAGCGACCCTGAACAGATGAGCCTTAAGAACAGCAATAGCAGTGACAATAGCTGTCAACCTGGAGTTGTTCAGTTGAAGAAAAAGGAGATTCCCTCCAAGCCACACCGCCAGCTCTGTAGATCACCCTGCCTAGATTGCCCAAGCTTCTCCCAGAGCAGCATTCTACAGGATGGGAAGATTGACTTGGAAAAAGAATACCAAGCCAAGGTGGATTTTGCTCTAAAGCTGGGCTATGCGGAGGAACAGATTCAATCAGTGCTGAACAAGCTGGGCCCAGAATCACTTATTAATGATGTATTGGCAGAGCTTGTCAGACTTGGGAACAAAGGTGATTCGGAAGGACAGGTCAACTTGAGTCTGTTAGTGCCTCGGGGGCCCAGCTCCAGAGAGATTGCAAGCCCTGAACTGTCTCTTGAAATTGACATAGACAGCAGTGACAATTTGAGGCCAATTGTCATTGATGGAAGTAATGTGGCAATGAGGTAAGACTGGTATATTTTCTCTCTCTTTCTTTAAAAGTGCCCTGAGCTCATAGAAATTGTCTTCCTTTGCAAAAGACTACGAGAAGCCCTTGGTTATTGTCTGTAGCTTGTGCTCCTCTAAGTGGACAGAGGCTAAAATGATTATGCCCTGGCTTTTTCTTTCTCTTTTGAAATGGTTGCCAATTTTTTTTCAGGTATGCTGAAAGCAGCTTAGACACCAGTGATGCTTCAGAGAAGACATAACCATTTAGTCTTTGTTTTTCTTAGAGTTCCCTCTCCCATCTGTACTTAGATGGACCAACCATTCTAAAAATGTTGCTTTTATAATGTGACTTGAGTGCATTCTTGGGAACTTAACAGTAACTCCTGATCACCATTCTACCAAATTTTAATCCCTTTGCCTGGCTTTGTGATATGACCTTTTCTTCCTCCCATTTGATTTTATCTCTCACACTTACTGCATCACATAAGTCTTTTTTAAATTTTACGTGTAAATTATGCTGATTTCTATGCCCACTATTTGTGTTCATGTCATTTTCCAACCTAGGATGACCTCCTCCTTATCTTCATACCCTTGATATTGTACCACCTCCACAAACAACTTTCTGACTTCTCTATTCCCAATAATAGTCTCTGAGCTACAGTACTTATGATAGGCTGAATAATATCTCCCTAAAGGTGTCTGCATCCTAATCCCTGGAATCTATGAATATGTTATTTTACATGGTAAAAGGGGCTTTGCAGATATGATTGAGTTAAGGATCTTGAGATGTGGGCGATTACACTGGATTATCAAAGTGACCTCAGTATAATGACAAGGGTTCTTATAAGAGTGAGGAAGAGGGAAGAGAGAAAATGTGTTCCGAGTCTTGTCCTGGAGCAGAAAGAACAGTTGAGGGTTGCACAGGGAGTGTTTGTTGGCAAGTTAAGGGACAGCTAAACTCCAGGAGAAGGTGGAGGACTGCTGGACTGGATTTCCCTGACTGGGCTGCCTCCACTGCTGCTCGGTCCCTTCCTGGAGCTACAGGCTCAGACATGGAGACCGCACCATCTTGAAAGGGAAAGTGGATCTTATCGGAAGACTGAAAATCGACAACTGCGGCAAGCATCGAACAGCTGTGAACCCTAGAACACTGGTCCCCAATTGGCACAAACATGCAGATTTAAAGGATCTCTTCACTTCACCATGGAAAGGTCAGATTTTACCTGGGATAAGGTGAGTTCTCTGGTCCCAGCAGGACAGAAAAAAGCACACTTTGCAGGAGCTGGAGGACCAGGGAAGTCTGTGCCTAGAAAAATCCATGGCTGTTGGGGCTGGCATAATCCGTGTATGTAGAAGGGGGTCCTCAGAGCTGTTAACAGAAGGAATCTCCAAAAATCAACCCATTTTGATCTGACGTGGAGGGGCAGCCTAAGATTTTCAAAGGTGTACCTGCTGCTTAGACTTGCGTGCAGGCCCATTGTTCAAGCAGTTGGGCATTTTACTCTTCAAATCCTTGCTTCTGATTACTAAGCCCAATACATAGGATCACCCAGTTGGGGACACCCTGGTAAACTGCAGGGGAAAGTTGTTTTTCTGGAACCGGGGGATTGGAGCAGGGAATGACAATTGGAGAGCCAGCTCTGAGGCAGCCCACTACCACAAACCGGTATTGAGTGCCATAGGGAAAGAAGGATCACAACAGTAGCTATAGAGGCCAAATAGATCCAGAAGTCAATTCAGAAACACTGCCACCCAGGGGCTGAATCACAAATTACTCTTGTGTAATAAAAAATAAAGTAATACAAGAAATTAAGATACCACCTGCTTAAAAATCAGGACTGGCTTACAACACTGAGAAGCAGTGGTACACAGGAAATTGCAATACTGTCCGAACTGGGAAATAGGTGTGCCAAACAGAACAATAGAAGAAGTGAATGACCTTCACTACTGCACATTTTTAAAATTTATTTATTTTTTCATTTTTTATTTTTTTATTTTCATTTTTTGCCTCTTTTAATTAATAAACCAATTTTTTCCTCACTTGATTTTACCTTTTTGATTATAACATTTTTATTTTCAATCAGCATTATTTCTACTACTATTTTACTTTTTTTTAGTGTCCTTTTATTTTCACTTTATTTTACTTTGGGATTAGTGTTCTACATTCTATTTTCATCTTTCATTTAGCATTGTTTTACCATATCTCAACTCTATCTTTATGCTAACACTCTCTTCCTAACATTTCCCCTTTGGGTGTCCTGTTTATCTTACCCTTTTTCTGTTTTAGATTTTCCCTGTTCTTTCTCTTTGCCCCCTGTTAAAAATCTCACCCTACTTATATATCTAATTTCCAATACCCTGCTCCAAGTCCATACATACTTCTCTCTTCATTCTCTTAAGTATCCAAAAAAATTGTTTTTCTCTTTGTTCTTTTGTTGTTGTTTGCTTGACTATTGATTATATTGAATTTTCATACTTTTTTGTGAGATGGTTTTGTTTATTCTTTTTTTTTGCTTGTTTTTTTGTTTGCTTTGTTTTTGTTTGGTTTTTGCTTTTGTTTTCCCTGCCTTGCTTGATATTAATTCATGTTGTGGTTTGTATTAATCTCCAGGTACCTGTTACTGGCATTTGCTCGGATTAATAGTTGTTTTATTGGAGTTTTCTCCCTATATGTAGTTGTTCCCCTTTTCTTCCTTAGTCTCTTTCTTATCTCTCTAACTTGCTTTTTCCTTTTCCCAATTTCATTTTGACACTCCTTATTTTTCTCTTTCTTTTTCCTCTTCTTCTTTCTCTCCTATCACCTAATTTGCCTTTCTCTGGTGGTAACCTTTATTGGAAGTTATTAATATCATGAATATGTTTCTGTTCAGTGCCTTGTGTGTTTTACCTGTTGTATTATATTTTGTGCCTTTAAATCAATGCAGGTGAGAGGGAACTACATAACCAGATATCCATAGAAGAGAGACCATAGGGAGACAAAGAAACAGCCCGCATATGAAAGAAAAACAGGCATCACCAGAAAAAGAAGTAAATGAATTAGAGGCATGCAACCTATTAGAGATAGAATTCAGAGAAATGGTCATAAGGTGACTGAAAAAAATGGAAGACAAATTCAACAATATGAGTAAGAACCAAGAGGAAATGAAGAAGAGCCAAGAAGAAATGAAAAATGACATCGCTGCTGTAAAGAACTCAATAGAAAGCATCAAGAGTATACTTGAAGAAGCAGAGGACTGCATCAGTGAGCTAGAAGACAAGGTAGTAAAAATACCCAAGCTTCTAGAAAAAAAAAAAAATTAAAAAGCAGGAGGAGAGCCTAAGGGACTGTGGGACAACACAAAACAGAACAACATTTGCATGATAGGGGTTCCAGAAGGAAAGGAAACTGAGCAAGGAATAGAAAAACTGTTTGAAGAAATAATAACAGAAAATTTCCCTGATATAGGGGGGGAAAATCCCACACAAATCCAAGAATCTCACAGAGTCCCAATCAAAATGAACCCCAAAAGACCAATGCCAAGGCACATTATAATTAAATTGGCAAACACCAACGACAAAGAAAGAATCTTAAAAGCTGCCAGAGAGAGACAGAAAGTTACATACAAAGGAACCCCCATCTGACTAGCAACTGATTTCTCAACAGAAACTCATCAGGCCAGAAAGGAATGAAATGAAATATATAGAGTCATGAAAACAAAGTGTCTGAACCCAAGAATACTCTACCCAACAAGGCTATCAATCAAAATTGAAGGTGAAATCAGGAACTTCACAGATAAAAAAGGACTTAGGGAATTTATCACCACCAAATTAGCAATGCAAGAAATGCTTCAGGGACTACTGTAAAAAAAAAAGAAATGGGAAGTGAAAAAGGAACACAGAGGTAAAGAATAAAAATGTCGACAACTAAGTACCTATCAATAATAACTTTAAATGTAATTGAATTAAATACCCCAATCAAAAGACAGAGGGTAACAGATTTGATAAGAAAACAAAACCCATATATCTGGTGTCTACAAGAAACACGCCTCATAAAAAAAGACATACACAGACTGAGGGAGAATGGGGTGGAAAAGTTTTCCAGACGAATGGAAATTTAAAAAAAAAAAAAAAGCTGCGGAAGCAATACTTATATCTGAAAAATTAGAACCAAAATGAAGGTCATAGCAAGAGATAAAGAAGTCAACTTCCTAATACTAAAGGGAGCAATCTAAAAGAAGAACTCTGTTAAACATATATATACCCAACACAGGAGCACCCAAATACACAAAAAAAAAACTACTGGAGGATATCAAGGGAGAGATTTACGGTAATACAATCATGGTAGGAAACTTTCATACCCCACTATCACCATTGGACAAATCCTGTAAACAAAAAATCAGCAAAGAAGCATCAATCCTAAATGACTCACTAGTCCAGATGGAATTAATTGACATCTTCAGAACATTTCACCCCAAAGCCACAGAATATACATTCTTCTCAAGTGCACATGGGCCATTTTCAAAGATAGACCATATATTAGGTCACAGGCAAAGTCTCTACAAATCCAATAAGATAGAAATCATATTAAGCATCTTCTCAGGTCACAGTGGCATAAAACTGGAAATAAAGTACAATAAAAACAATTCAAAGAAATAACACACATGGAGACTAAATAACATGCTATTAAACAATGACCGGTTACCACAGAGATCAAGGAAGAAATAAAGAACATCATGGCAACAAATGACAATGAAAACACAACAATCCAAAATCTATGGGACACAGCAAAAGCATTCTTGAGAGGGAAGTTCATAGCTATACCAGCCTACTGAAAAAAAACAAACAAATAAGAAACAATGGTAATAAACTACCTAACCCTACAATTCAAAGAGTTAGAAAAAGAGCAATGAGAAAGGGCCAGTGTAAGCAGAAGGAAGGAAATAATAAAGATCAGAGTGGAGATAGACGACATAGAGACCAAAGAAACAATACAAAAGATTAAAAACAAAAAACAAGAGTTGGTTCTTTGAAAGGATAA